AGAAATCTGTCTGACATGAAACAAGATTTTTTTGGATATCAAATGCTTAACATAATCTAAGTAAAGTAGATTTTTTCACCGTAACTGTGGCTAATTCTGAACTGTGATTAATGTTGTAACTTTTAGGCTTGAATCATAGTCAGATCCACAGTGATAATAGTTATAGTCTATCATTTAGTTTCCTTATTTGGAAAATAACTCTCAATTCTACTGTTTCTAATTTTCTACAAGAGTTTAACTAATTAACTCATTTCTCAAGAATAATGTATATTTAAAAACAAAAAATTATTTTTGGGAAGAAAGTTATGTACTAAAAATCTAAAAAAAGTAATTAGGAATATATCAAATTAATTTTATTTTATTATTTTCTATACTGTTTTCATACTGATTCCCTTCAGGTTACTATTTTTAAAAGACAATTTAAAATGGTTGTAGATTATGGCTTGGGATGTGTTATATGTTCATTTTAAATTGCAGTTATAAACTTGCACCTATAGAGCAGCTGTTGCTAATAGGCATGATGTATAAGGTGGAATGAGTTAAGCAAAGGTTTATGTTGTTTTAGCAATTTTCTAAGGGGATAGATATTCCATTCCAGGTTATATGCATAGAAATACAGTCAATGAAAGTTATTAAATGATTCTGGCAAAATGTTTCAGGACAAAACATTTACACTTTTTTCTATATTAGCTAGATAAAAGAAGTCACTACTACTGTCTTGCAAAATTGTTTAAATTCCAAAATCTGATACTTTATCACTGGTATGAAGAATTTAATTTTTAAGAGCAATTATTCTCATAGACAATATAAAAGTAATTTTTAAATAAATATTGAAAAGCTCTATGATATAAAGCTAGTCACCACTTAATTCATTAACTATCAAGTGTTACATTCTCAGAAATAGGGCAATTAGAACACACTTCATGGATACTACAATTGTACAGATTTTTTTCCTCTGTTTCTTACATACACATTTCATGTTTACAACATGTCTTTGAGTCATAAAATACTTAGATTGAAAGAACAGCAGTTTTAAATATGAATGGTATCATTTTTTCAATCTTCCTGTTTTTTTTCTGCATTAATGAAAATATAACCAACCCTCAGGAATCTGTCAAAATGAAAAAAATTCTGGTTGATACAATTGCATTCTGTTTTAGGCAGGTTTTACTATATAAATACATTATTCAAATGTGCATAGATTCAATACATAAATTTTACATAATAAAAGAAAAACAATATATAATATTTTTAATATATTTATTATATAATGAAATATTTATATTTTCAAGGCAAGCATTCTTAGAGTTTGATTTTTTTTAATTTACATTTATATATAAATGTTTGTATTTTATAAAAACCTTTTTTCTTTTACAAATTCAAAGAATTTAGCATTCCACCACAATACAAAAATTATCAAAAATCATTTATGATATGACAAATAAATAATTAAAGTGATTGAAGAAATTGATGAAGTAGAAAACCAAAAATATTCAATACTTTTTTATTTAATATAACATCAAAATATTAGATTTACGTAACAAAATTAATTTTGTATTAATTTCTAAAATATTTATTTGCACATGTTAGATATTATTATATGTATTAAAAAAGGATCTGCTATATTCTGTCTAGCAAGTTTATGATTTCTATTTATATTAAATTTCAGATTAAATTTATTATATGAACCTGAAAGAACTCTTACATAAGTTAAATGTAATTTGTTTTTCCTTTAAAGTTCTAATCTGTCTTTTTAATACTAAGTATTAAAAAATAATATGATGATATTAATTATTGTATAAAATTGTTTGTAAATGAGCTTTATATTTGTAAATATGTTTTCAAAATTATGATAAATAGATTATATCTCTGGAAAAAATATCTGCAATTTTTTTAATAGGAAATGCCTTTTATAGAATTTCCTTTGAAGCAGTTCTAAAAAGTACATATTGTTGCTTTTCCTTTATAATAATTCTAAGTAATTCATGATATTACATAAAAAGATCTTGTTTTAGTATAGCATTTTACATAAGATTTCATTGGTGGGAGAAAAGTATTAAATCTCAATTCCAAATTACCTTTTAATACTTAACTTTTTGACTGAAAAAGAAATATTGTAGTTGAAAATCATTCACAGAAATTTATGTTGATGATAATTTTATCTTTCTAAAATTAATCAAGGAAATTTCATGTAATTTTATTTTATTTACTATCAAATATATAGTAAAAGATGATTAATAGAATTACTGTATATATATTTGATGAATTATAAAATTTTTTATTTTGAAAATACATGTTTTCTAATATAACAATTAATTACAAATGTTATACTTAAATAAAATGATTTAAACTTTACAAGCAAAACTTTGTATCATTTTTAAACCTCTACGAATTTTATGTATTCCATATTTGTTAATATTTAGTCTTTTATAAACATTTAAATGACATATAGAATGATTATAAGTGATTAAATATTTTGTGTTTGATTGCCAATTTGTATTATAAATTAGCCAAATCTAATATGCATACTTTGCTTGAAATTATATACTTGAAAATGATTGTAGAAGCTACGTGAAAGTTATATTTGCATATCCAGATGTTGCTGAATATATAATACTTTGATTTGATAATATTAGTAAAGTTTAATAAGTACTTAAGATAGATAGATATTCATTTTTTATATTAATATTTATTATTAGATAAGCATAACACTTGTACTTGCCTGTTAATAAATTTGCAAATGAAAAATTCCATGTAAAAATTACAATATATGCATTAAATAATTTTATATTTACTATTTATATATTCAAATAATAATAATAAGCTCTGATTCCTTAACTGAATTAAAGGAGTTATAATTTTAATTTTTTACTTAACATAATTACGTTATTTTTTTTTAATATAAAATTTAATTATCCCAAAACCTTGGCTATAGAGTGCCCTTGTGTAAAAGTGAGTTGTGAAGGAATGTTGACTATGTAGATAAGCTGCTCTCATATATAACTAATACCTTGACTACAGGTTGTAGCCTATGACTGCAGAATATAAACCAATGGTAAAGGACACTGTTCATTGCCTTCAGGTTTTATTCTTTCAAAATGGAGACCATACCGAGTAATTTCTCCTGCATCACTAAGGTCTCTATAGTATGAGTGTCTTGCACAAATAAAATGTTTGTTGTTTGTAGACCAAAAGAACCGTAATAGTAAGTTTTGTTACTAAATTTTTTAAGGAAACATCTTTTTCATGTTACGAAAATGTCACCATATCAAATTTGGTTGCATTTAGACTACTATATATCTATAGACAGTGTTGAATAAGTGTACTTTAATTACAGTCGCCTGGTATATCTACTCATTTTTTAACTATTAGTTTATTATTATTAAGCTTTAAAAATGTTTTATTAAAAAGAAATTTTAAAGTTATTGTTTTAAAATATAAATTTGTGATTTTGATTTTATGGATGTTTTAATCATTATATTAAAATTTTGTTTTAAAATTTTCAAATTAAAAGTGTTTATATAAAAGGGTGAATTGAAAAGGAAAGGTAATTTATGTATAAAACTAATATTTTAAATTAGAAATAGTTTCCAAGACCATATTATCTGTTATGTCAGTAGACAAATCTAAATGTTTTGCTCATTGGCTTATTTATTCTAATCTTTGGCAATTGAAATGTAATTGTGTTGCTTTCATATTGTTAATGAAGATGACTAGTTCGGGTTTTTTTCCTGGTTAGAAGCAGTTAAATCTTAAATTTGAAAAAGAATATATGAATACAATATACAGAAATTTATGAATGGCAAAAACTTCAGAAATGGCAAAACAAATGCAGTCAACAAAGACCATTCAAGTTGTCAAACAATTTCAACATCAGTAAACATTATTTTATTGATCAAATCGGTACTCCATTCAAGAAAATACATTACTATTTCTGTTATTGTTAGCAGATTAGACATCTGCATCACATCCTTAATGTTAAAGAAATGGTTTTCAAATAACTGAAAGGGTTTTTTGATAGTGTTCAGAAGTTTGTGAATTGATAGGAGAAGCAAACATACCACAATAAAAAAAAAATGAAACTGTTTTTATTAAAATCATAAAAAAGTGTGCTATTTTATTTTCCCATTTATCACACTTAAAATGTAATGCTGCTGCTACATATTCAGTTCGGAGTTATTGTTGTTCTTATATTCATTTTATCTTGAAACCTCTTAAGATAACAGTAAGTGGTCGAAAATAATGTAATGAAATACCCAGACTTGATCAAAGTTGAATTTGTATTATTTATCTATTAAGAATTTTCTTTGATTGCATAATTGATCAAAGCTTAAGGAGATGTTAATTACAAAAGGGTCTAAATGTTTATTTACCTGTTTTTACCGAAAAAAGAATGTTAAAAATCTTACAAAAATATTAACTTTTCTTTACAAATTATTATGAAAGTATTTAAAACTTGAAATTTTTAAGAAAAGTAACATAATTTTATTAATGTTTTCTCATTAACTAGGCAGAGAAAATCCAATAATTGCATCTATAATTGATTTTGTTGTTATATTTGATAAAGCAAAGCTTGCTTTATTATTAACAATCATACAAGCATCTAAAAGATTGAAAATATCTGAGTAATGAATATTGAGTTTGTAACAGTGTGTTATTCTTAAAAGTAATTTCTGACAGATCAATATTTTTAATACATTGGTAACATCTATATTTCTTATAGCTGTATTCTAGTCACATAATTGTATGATTGTAGGAAAATTCTGATATTCTATAAATAATGAAAGTGCAGTTTTGCATTATAATGAAATATTCCATTATTTTTTAGTTGACATTGAAATGATTGATGTGTGTAAAATTAAAATATTCTTTACTAAGATAGATATAAAATAAAATCAATTTTCTCATATAATTGAAAATTGATTTTGAAGTTTTATGAATTTAAAATTTTGATACTGTTTTTTTAAGAAGGAAAACTTACAAAAAATTTTTATTTTTAGAGGGAATAAAGGAAAAGGGAAAACAGTTAAGGTGCAACATAACTCTGTTCTGGGATCTGATGATGAAGCTCTCTATGATGATAAACCTGATGAGGGAAGATCTGATTACTATTATGATGAAATAGATGAATTTCATCAAGAGAAAGAAAAGGTTAGTAATATTTTTTTAAAACAAAACTTTGGCTTGTTTCTTTAGTGTATCAAATAGAGAAACTAAAGAAAATAACTAAAGATAATGATAAACGTACAGTGGAGTATTTTACACCTTTTATTTTAGTGATTCAACTAGTTACAATATAGTATAAAATATAATATTTTTATATTTTAATTGACAGTTGCTTTTAAAAGAAGAAGAATGTTTTTCTCCAGAACATTTTGAAAATCAAGTAAGAGTTTAAATGGTTATTTTATTTATTTATATTTGAATTAATAATAACTATATTAAAAAAATTAATTTACTTAGGAGGAAGTTTTAGGTGTGCAAGATGATTCAGATTCTGAAGATAAAGATAGTGAAGATGGTAAATATAGATAATGAAATAAGGAATATTAATATTTTTAATAATTATATAATATAATTGTTATTATTTCAGATTTGCCAGATGTTAAGGCATGGGGAAAGAAGAAGTCAAAATATTATAATACAGATTATGTTGATAATGATTATTTAGGTAAATGAAATTTTATAATAATATAAATTTTCAGAATAAATTCTCGGACAATATGTAGCATAATTAATTTCTCTAATTAATCAGTTTTTCTTATATTATATATGAAATTAATGGGAAAAATTTTCTTTAGAAAACAATTTTATTACAATCAGATAATTTTATTTTGTGTTCCCAGAAACTTATGGAAGTTATATAATGTTTTTTTAATGTCACATTCTTATGAATATTGACTTGTATATTCTGTATTGTATATGTATATTTTATTAATCTAAATAAATCAATTTTTAAGTTAGTAACTTTTAATGAAAGCATTGTCTAGTATTAAGTTAAATTTCTGTTTGGTTAAATAGTATAATACTACATGGAAGCTTTTTAACTATAACTTCAGAGTACAGTTGTCCCTCGATAATCCGACAGGTATGGAAGTTATATAATGTTTTTTTAATGTCACATTCTTATGAATATTGACTTGTATATTCTGTATTGTATATGTATATTTTATTAATCTAAATAAATCAATTTTTAAGTTAGTAACTTTTAATGAAAGCATTGTCTAGTATTAAGTTAAATTTCTGTTTGGTTAAATAGTATAATACTACATGGAAGCTTTTTAACTATAACTTCAGAGTACAGTTGTCCCTCGATAATCCGACAGGTATGGGACCAAAGGTGTGTCGGATTACCGAAAATAATTACATATTTTGCATTGTTTTGCTAGCAGTAACTTACAATATTCTCTACTCCAACTGTTTGAACAGAACTGCTCACATAGAACACACGAAATGTGTGTCATCGAGTAAGAATTGGATGGGGAGATTCACATCGCGACATGCTTCTGTGCAAGCAGACACGTAACGGGGACGGGTACCTTGACGGGAGGTGCGTCGGACTACTGAGCATGTTGGATTAAAAAACGTCGGACTATCGAGGGACAACTGTATTAGGAAAATGAAATATTTTTCTAGTACTTACTGTTAATAGAAATTCTGAAAACACGATGGTTTACCAATTGTGTCTTCATTATTGACAAACAATGTGAAAAATTCTTTCCAAAAGATCAACATTGACATATTCTTAATTACAAAATAAACATTTAATTGATCTCTTGTCAGCTTTTGTCTCTAAAAGAATAAATTCTCTGCACTTCCACTCTCTAACAAATAATTAGGAAAATTATTAACATTTTTTAATGGAATTTTTGATTATAGTACATTTTCATAATAGGCTATAAAGAAGGAGAAGATGAAATAGCACAAGCTGAAGAAAATGAAGTATTAGCTTTACAGAAAAGACTAGATGATGAAATAGAAGAAAGTGATTTTGGAATAGAATGGTTTGAAGTAAGTTTTTTTCCCTCCCCTTCCTAATTTTGGCCATTCTATTAATCTACAAATTTTGAGTTTTTATTTGAAATTTATATTTTATGAAAGGAGTAATTTGTAAAATATGAATTTCAAGTAAGAATTAAATATTTCATTAAAATACAATATTATTTGCTAATTGTTTTGTAACCATTTAAGAAGTGAGAAATGTATTAATTTATAATTTTCTATTAAGAAAAAAGACCAAATTGAGAATCAAGAGAGTTCAGAAAAAATTGGAATTGATTTAGAAGCATTAAGTAAAGAAGAAAAACTTGAGGTACATTTTAAAAATTAATTAGGCTAATTTTTACTTGTCATAGTTAATTATTTTAAAATATTTTTGTAGTATAAATTAAATAAATAATAATTTAAAATAGAAGTAAAAATCATTTAGTATAAATTGAGAAATAAAAAAATCAATATTATGGATATTCTTTGATAAAGTTTGTGTTTGGATTACTCTTATTAAAAGTTAATATTTCACTTCAATCTATATAAATACTATTACTTTTTGAAAAATAATTTGCAAATATTAACAGCATTTTAGGATTTATGTTACTGTAAAAGAATATAAATTGAGGAAATATTTTATTAATCAAAAGTAACTAAACCAATTTAAAAATGAGTATTTCATTGGTTTGACAACCAATGAAATACTCATTGCATATTGTTGTCAATATCTTGTTTTAAACATAACATTTTTATTATAATTTAAGCATCTACACTGTTGCATTTTTCTAGTTGAGACTGTTGTTTTAAAAATAATCTGAATTGATATCACATATTGATCTTATTATTGCACTTTTATTGTTTACATGCAAATTTAATGATACTGAATAGGGTTTGAAAATTTAATGAAATTATTTAATAACGGGTATGATTATTAGATAACTATAGCAGTCCTCAGTTGTATGAAATTGAGATTAGTAAGTAATTTGTGATTTTTTTTTTTTTTTAAATTTATTAAAAACAGCCAGGGCCACCAAAGCTTGTACAGAGCCCAGGGGTAGAGTAGGCCTCTCTTTCTCTTTAGCAGGATTCTTTAACCTTTTGTTTTTTGAGCAAATGAAATATTTAGAATGTTTCTTTATTAATAAAATGCAATCATAAAGATTTCATTTTCTGTTAGTAAAAATAATGTTAATTTTATAGGAATAGGAACTAGTAATGATTCTTAAGTTTTTTCTGGATCTGGGGAAAATTGCTAACTCCCCTATTAATGGACCTGAAAACAGTGTATGAATTTTGATGTTTATATGTTTTGATTCGTATATTTCAAAAATATAAGAAAAATATTGTTATTTTGCTTCTAAATCAAACTTTAAACAGCATTATGAATATATTTAAATTAATGCAGCTCAATCGCAGCAATTAATATGTTAAAAAGAAAAACAAAGGCACACTATATTTTGTTAGTTTGTAGTCATCTAATAAAGCATAAAAGATAGAAATACTGAGGATTCAGATAGCTCCATTGAAACATTATTCTAATGTTGAAGCAATACAGAAAGTATAATAATATACATGCACATGCATATGTGATGTGTGATTAGAAAAATGCAGACTAATTCTTAAGTGGTTTTAGTTTTTTGATAAATTTCCTAAGTATAATATCTTTTTTTTTACAGTTTCTTCAGAAAAATTCTCCCGAGCTTTTTATTTTTGTAGAAGATTTTAAGTCAAGGGTAATTATTTCAATGGCTTATTTAAAATTATAATTTGGTCATATTTTTAATTGTTTGTTTTGTAGTTGGCAGAATTAACAGAAAAGCTAGAGCCAGCTTGGACATTGATTGAGGAGCATAAATTACCAGAAGGATGTTGGACAGATTATGTTGTTACTAAATACCAGACAATATTACAGTAAAAATTTTTTAATAAATTGATAATCATAATTTGAAAAAAAACTTCTTATTTAGAAAAATTTATTATTTAAATAGATATTGTACAAATATAAGTTTCTATATGATGATAAAAGCCAAGGGAGAACCAATGTATAATCATCCTGTCATGTCACGACTTCATATCTATAAAAAGGTAAGTAAGATAAAGCATCAATTTATTTAAAATTTAATTTGAAAATGCATTTTTGAATCTGTTTTTGCTAATAATAATGTCAATAAATACTTATAATTTAATGATGAGCTGTCTTGAATTAAAACTATTTATTTATTTATTTATTTTAATTTTTACAAATGGAAATGTCATGTAAATGACAATATTTCTGCTCCCCCAATTAAGAGTATAACCCAGATACATAAAACATAATATATAAAAATACAATTATTGTACATAGAAAATAAAGAAAACACAAAAAAATTAATAAGATAACAATAGGACAAGAATATTAAAGACTAAGAATTATAAAGTATTGTTTACAATGCGTATAAAACTACTAAAATCTTCATGTAGTAAATTTTCAAAATCTATCATATTACAAGAGATGTAATAAAAGTATGATCTTTGAGAAATGCTTAGTCTATAAAAGGAAGTAAAAGCACACGATATGGTATGCAAGTTCCGTTGAGGAATTCTTAATTGTAGCCAATCTGCCTGTATGTTTCTGTATGCAAAATCTAGAAACTCAAATTTGCCTATTTTAATTTTGTCAGTACATGATAGAAAGTAGTTATTGAACCAGGATTGATAAATGGGGGTCAAAATCAAAATGCTTATGAAGAGTAGAAAGAAGAATGTTTGGGAGACTGAGTCAAAAGGCTGGCTAATGTCTAAGTAAGCAACATAAACAGGGCATTTTCTTTTTAAGTTATTGATGATCATTGATAAGGTAGCAAGTAAATTAGTGGAAATGGAGTGGTGACAGAGCCTAGTGTTGAAAGGTAGGAGTTTCGAAGAAATGGTAGGGTATATATTTTTAGTAAACATAAATTTTGAATATTTTGAACATAGCAGGTAATATGGTAATAGGGCAGTATGAGTTTTTATCCTTTTTTGGAATGGCTTTTATAGAAGATGAATACCACTTTAGGAACAAAACTAAATCTGATGAATTTTGTGAATAATCTGGACTGAAGACATGGGTTTTAATGTTTTGTGGAAGACGGCAGATATATAGTCTGGACCAAAATTAGATATTTTTAAAGTATCTATTGCATCAATTGTGTCAGAAAAGGAAAAAGAATGGAGATATCTGTCTATGATGTGTGAGTGAGTTGAATTTGGTCTTTGGTAGAATATTAGTGAACCTATAAAAATTAGCAAAGAAGGTGCTAGGCTAAAATTGATTTTTTTTTTAATATTTGTACATTTTATTTAATGATTTCTATGAAAAAAGTAAGTTTAATATGCAAGGCTCTTTCATTCATTCAAACTCATTACTGTAGGAATGCTTGGTTATTGAAAAGTTTGGATTAGTAGGATTATGTATATATCTGACCAACCCAGGAAGCACTCCCTTTACACGTTGGACTACTTTACTAATCATTCACAGGACAAGTTGGCTGGCATCTGGTTTGACATACCTTATGAATAGATGGGTTGAACTATGCCAACCAGTCACATGATGCACCTTTACCCATGTACCCATGTCAATGGTCAGTAAACTAGTCCATCACCTAAGGAAAATGTTTTCCTGGGTTAGCCACTGTACACTTATATTAAAACATTTTTTATAGTGTATTTGGTGCATATATTTACATTGAAATATATTTGTAAAATTGATATGTTCTACACATTGTTTTTAAATGTTTCTGGCTGAAACATTTAGACATAATGAATAAAATTGGTTTGGATTAACAAGAGTACACTGTATTTGAAATAGAATTACAGTAGAACCTCGAAAACTCGGCTCTCGATAACCCGGCACTCCGGATAACTCGGCCACACCCTGGCAGGGCAAAAAAATCCTTAGTTAATTAATTTTCATTATAGACAGCTTTATAAAAGTATAAAAGCTCTCATAAAATATTTTTCTGAGGTCTGTCTTATCAGGTAAATTACTGTACACAGTGTTTTCATTAATTTTCATTTTCATGTAGTAAAGGCTCTATGCCTTCATAAAGTACGTACTTTTCCTTTGTTTAAGGGTATTTGGGCAGTTTATTCTCTGTTATATTCTCAAGTAAACAATACATACAAGTACAGTACAGTATTTTCTGAGGAAACACTCGTACTTATTTTTTTTAACCCCATTCCCGATAACCCGGCATTTTCACAAACTCGGCCACCCTTCGGTCCACATTAGGCCGAGTTTTCGAGGTTCTACTGTATCATCAAAACATCTTTGGAAAAGGACATACCAAGCAAAAATCTAATGACAGTTAACAATTCTTTGAGGAGACATTGCTCGTACATACAAAAAATACCTTAATGTATGCTCAATTTTTTCTGTGTTTACCTTAAGTATGAAATATTTTTATTTTAAATTTCATTTTAAAAAATCTGATATGCAAATAAGAATGTAATTTCAGAATTTTGTTTACTAATTAAATGCAAAATAACCCACCACTAAATAATGTTTTAAAAAATACTTTTACTTAAAATGCATAATTATTGCAAATGCATTAAATGATGACGATCAGAGATGCTATGAAAATTTTTATTTAGATGTAGGTAAAATGTTAATGCAGACCATTACAGAAATATAAAAGCTTAAAATATAAATTTATAACATATATTAGCTTAGAAATACAAAAATATATACATCAAGTTTGTGAAACAGTAACAAAAGAAAACTTCAATATTACAAAAATTCTAATAAAATACTTTACAATAGTCAGTAAATTTATAGTATATATAAACTAGAAAGCTGTTCAAGTACTTTTAATTATCAAAACAAATCATCAACATGGAGTTCAGTGTCTACATTGTCTATACTGGAACAAAGTTGTGTAAAGATTATGGAGATGGGTTGTATAATGGAATACAATTGCATGGAGAACACACATCTTTTTAAGTAAGATTTTTTTTATGTTCAAAAGTGATTGAAAAATGGCTTGTTATTTAAATTTGTTGATTCCTGTAGAGAATTTTTGTTGTAAGAACGTAAACATCAAACTTAATCAAATAATCAACCAAAAATGAAAGAAAATACAGAAACATGCCAAATTATGAAAATTACTTTATTGGAACAATTTATTAACATATTCACATTCTAAGTTCTTTCCAACTGCCGGAGTTCATCTTTATCAACACACACAAAAATAAGCAGTTTTTAAAGGAAATTTTGAAATAAATAAATAATTAAAAAAATTACTAAAATATTGATAATGAAAATAGTTTACAATAAATTTTCATTTTACTAAGCTTTTTTTCTATATTAAATTCTCTTCAATAATTTTTTAAACAACAGTGATGATAAGTAGTCCTTAAAAGTACAAATTGCACATTGTATTGAAATTTTACATTTTTAAGAATAACTTGTTATTCATCTATTGCTTACATATTATTTCTGGATTTAGTTTTATGGTCTTGTTTTACATGGATATTGCATGTCAGCAGGTATCGAATAAAACAAAATTCCATGTAAATTTGTGCCATACCTAGCAGTCCCAGACAGTTGCCTAGACACTTAATCATTTACAATTAACAGAATATGTGTAAATGTTTTTATATACTGAACTTTATAATAAAATTAGTCAGTGTGTGCATTAATAATCAGAATTGCCTGTGAATCCAAAGATTAAGTTAGTTGTTTGTCATCCACGAGAAAACATATCTTTGTTAGTAATTTTTGTTGGTGAAGTTGGATAAACTGAGCCAGCAAGGATGTAAGCGGGAGACGAACAAAACTTCTGTGTCTTTATTCTACGAAGAGCTACAGACACACTGGACGTTAGAAAAATAGCAATAATTCAGAGGGTCATAGGTAACGAGAAAAATAGAATGTGATGTACGATGACACTGTTTATCTTTCAGGAGACCAGGAGATAAACTTTTTAACACATGACAGCCACATTCCTAACAATCTTCATATATGTCCTGCATAAAGCAAAGCCCTACTGTACTTATTAATTAAAATTCAGCAATGATGAACTGAAAAGATTCAATATTTAGAAAACATATTTTAATGCTTAGAAAGTCAATTTTTAAGTCTTGAAAATTTAATTAATTGTTTGTGTGTGTGTATATATATATATATATATATTGATGCTTTTATTTATTTTTAGATGTTAGAGAAATTAGATGCAGTTGAGAAACATTATTTACCAATCGTAGAACAACTTATGAAAGGAGTCGATATAAATTTAATAATAGAAAAAGAAGAATCATCATCAAATAAGTTAGTCTATTATTATTTTTTATTTAGGTGAAAATAAATTTTAAAATATTATATTATGAATTTTTCAGAGATGAAAAAATGGAAGAAATAAAAACAATAAAAGAAAGGAATACTGAGGTGAGAATTTTTTTACTGAAAAAATATTTACACACATTTCTCTAATTTCATCAGCTGTAATGATTGTGTTTATTATTTCTTTCCAATTTAATGATATGGAAATGTTTTATGCTGACATGAAACACTGATGTGGATTTTGCCAATTTTCAGTAGTAATGGATGTTGTAATAGTGTTTTTATTTTTTCAACAAAGTGATTTAAATACCCATTCATGAAGTTGAGAAATGCTATTGTTTTTGATTATTGCAAATGCAGTTTCATAAGCTTTTGTTCAGCTGGTACTTTCTATAACTAACAAACTAATAGAGTAATGATTGTCATGTTAATCTTTTTTACAAAATATTCTGTGAATTTGTTTGATTTTAATTATGCTAGTTATAAATATACCAGTTTGATTTAATTTATTATCAATATTATGTAGATACCAAGTGATATGGAAGACGATTTTTGTTTAAAATCATCTGGTAGTGATGATGATGAATCTGATTATCCAAATAATTCATTAACAAGGTACTATTTTATAGATAATTCAAAAAAATGCTTATTATATAGGATAGTTGTGTACATGTAGACATGATTATATATATAAATTGCATAACATTAAATGTTCAAATTAATACAGAATTTAATTATTTCAGTAGTAATAAAAACAACACTGAAGAAAAGAGAAGTATCACATATGAAGTAAGTAAAATCTGTGTGTTAAAAGAATATTTCATAGCTTTCTCATATTTATCAGAATAATTAAATATAAAGTGAAAAGTTGTAATTCATCTTACTTCCAAAAATTTATATTATATTTATCAATTTACAATAATGAATTGATGATTAAAAATTACACATGAATCATCATTAAAAAAGACAGCTTACTTTATAAAATGTTGTTTCTTGTAAGCCAAGATGAAAAAGAAAAATAATTTGAATCTGTACTTAAATTTTCAAAAATTATGATTTTTTTTAAATTAAAATCTTCTAAGCATTCATTCTTTATAGTTAAAAATATTTTTTCTATTATTATTTTCTCAAAAAGACAAAGAAAAAATGGAATTATATTTTTCTTTATTAAATTTCCAGATTGCCAAGAATAAAGGTTTGACACCACACAGGAAAAAAGAAGTAAGAAATCCCAGAGTGAGGCATCGCAAGAAATACGAAAGAGCAAAAGTTAAAAGAAAAGGACAGGTAATTATTGTTTGAATTTTACTTTTGTAACAGAGGAAAACAATGCCTATAACATCTAACTGAAATCACAATTGTATTACTAATAAATAACCATTCTATCAATGATAGGTTTCCTTCCTATTTTCCAGGCAGAAAGTTAAACTAATATAATACAGGGTGTTCAGAAAGTCAATGCAAAAATATGATTAGAAAAGTGCAGTATTTCAAAAGACCTGCAACCCCCAGACTTTTATCTACAGAGAGCAGCAAAAACAGCATTCATTCAGGGTCACTGTGCACTTGTATATTCATTAACAAACACCCTGTACTTTCAATTAATATTTTGGGCTAAATCATAAGTAATGTCATTTTAATAGAAAATGTTTTTAATGTAAATAAGATCTATCCTTATGAACTTCTGGGTGGCTTATATGGTATCTACATAACTTTTTCCGTTAAAAAGATCAAAGAATTCTAAGCTCTTTCAATTTTTGTTGGGTGACTATTGTAATATTAGGTCAAGTGACACAAAAATGAGTATTCCCCTTATATCCCCAATTTTATTGCTATCTTTTTGAGAAGTGAGTATTATTCTGTCACCTATTAAGAGTAAAACACAGACAATCATTCTGCTCAGTAAGATCAGTGTAACTGTTTAACTACTGTTGATTGGGAAATAGCTTAGAAATTTTTTATCCAGAGTGAAACTTGACTTTTAAGTTTTTTTGAAGAAATCTTCATCCTCGACATTAATGGGAATAGCAGTAAAGCCTTAAATATTATATTTTTTAAATTGTAGTACCAATGAATGTATGTATTTAAAGCACAAAATGTTGCGGCCAAAGTTTTCAATGCGAAAATGTGTACATTGGACAGTTCAATGACAATGGCATTTGGAATGTCGAGCATGATTCCACTGACGTTCCAAACGCCATTGTCAAACTTCTAGGCTAACAAGATGGTGGTGCTGAACGTCTGAGGTACACATTTGTTGGGAAATACCCAGAAGTGTGCCCATCATGAGCATCTATATGCTTTTGGATCTCTCTCCATGACTCATGCAGTCAGTTGACCATCAGTTTGTACTGATGACCATGTGACTATTCCCTGGAATCCTAAACATGATCCATGGGAGGATAAATCTGGGTGCTAGGCAGTCCACAGATGACATCTTGCAATGACAAGCATTATCCTGTTGGTCATGAAGGATACAATAGGGTATACCATTCTGTCCATATAATAGCAAGTAGTCATTGTCATAACTTGCCTCCAAACCGTGACACCTGTGTGATGCTCTGAAATTGTGCACCCATGCTATCATTTGATCTACAATGGGCCTTATTACACTTACATAGTGGAAATGCTGTTCATAGTTTGGTTTTTTTATTGGTATCACCTTTGGCTTTCTGCCTGCAAGTAAATAACATTAAGATTTTGTACTTCTGCTATTCAAATAATAATCATTTTTAGTCTTCAAATCTAAGAAGTTTTTTTAACATGCTTAATTTTAATTCAGACAGATTAAAATCCTCTTTCAAAAGTTGAAAAAGAATTTCAATCTGTCTGAGGTTAAAAATACAATTTGATACTCAAATTGTATACTCAAATTGTAAGTTCTTATGCTGTAAATATTACTGTGGGAAGAAGAGTGACAAACAAGATGGTGTGCAAGTGCTTATCTTAACCATTTAACCAGCCTGTTGCTAGTTAAAAGACAATTTTAATCCTCCAATTCATTTACTTAATGCTGATTGATGGCCTTCTTGACAAACCTACCAACAGTCAGTTGGCTTTGGCAATTTAGCAGAGAACATTAAAGGTTTGTTTGTACTATATATTAAAGTGAGATGTAAACTATACATACCTTTCTGGATTATGACTAACAAATTTTCTGTAACTTGATTTGATCTTCAATGCTGTTATTTTTTTTTCTTTTCAGTTTCGGGAACCAATGAAAGAATTGCAAAGATATGGAGGAGAAATATCTGGTATTCGTGCTGGAGTTTGTAAAAGTATCAAATTGAAATAAATTTTATTGTTTTGTACAAATTGTTTCTATACACATTTTAAATATATTACAACACAACAGAATTCTAATAATCAATCGTCTAATTCTTCTATTTCGTCTTCAGGTAAAGTATAAAATCTCTCTTCGTGAAGCTCTTTGACGTAATTTATTTCTTCCACAACCTGTAAAACATTAATATGTTACATTTTTATTGGAAATGTACAGTAAGACCCCAATTCGATATAACGCAGGCTGCTCGAAGCCTAACAAAATCTCAAACTTTGGAGATTCAAATTATTGCAGCATTTCATTGATTTGTATATAGTACAATTATTCCCAATCAGCAAAAAGGTGGCAATTCGTCGTAGTACTGTACTTCCCTTAAATCTATTGTTTTGAGTAATGTTGGAAAAAATATTTCCTATGGCATCCATGATGATATATCGACTTTGCCTGGAAAAAATTAACTGATAACTTCTTCCACACTTCGTTCATGCATTTATGGCTGAAGGTATCTGTATCAATAGGTTAACCAAATTGTCAACCTAAATTGATACAGATACAGCAGGTTTCTGGCAGAATCCTTACCAATGACAGCCTTCAAGAACTGGAAAATAGTGATTCTGGAAACAAAGAATCTAAAAAATATCTCTACAGATTTCTTTAGTAAAAGTTTGGTAACGATAACCGAAATCGTTTATCAAATTGTAGCAAAAGAGGCATTTTGGATGCAAAGCGACAAATGAAACTACACAACTTATGCACACAGAAATCTAAGATTTGTTTTTTGTGATAATGTTATTATGCAAATTAATATAAAAACAAGACTGGTCAAGCCTGTCTTGTTTTTATATTAATTTGCATAATAATAATAATAGCAACTAGGTAGGTTTTACTATAGCTTACATTGACTGTAAACGGAAATGTTCAGTTCAATGAATGGATCTAACAGAACAAATTTCTTGCTGACCGAGTTTAGGCTTAAGTTATAAGCCCAATTTCCAAAGTTTGGATCAACAGAACAGAACACTAAGTAATGAAAGTAGTTGTTGTGTATGTATCCTCTGCGTTAAGTGGGATCTTACTGTTACTGTATTTTCTTTTTGTGAATTATGAATAATGCTTACGGTGTATGCCAATGTTTGTGTATCACAGCGAAATTGAGGTCTCTTTCCGGGTTGATCGGCCAAACTCGGTGTTCCCGCCTTTAACGTTAGCTGTACGTAGTGCCTAATTTCTCCCACGGTCGGCTGAACATAAGCACATTCTAATAAATTCTCTAGTGACACTAAAAGAATCTGATCGGTGGATGTCGAACTCCTATTGACAATGATTATGTGTGCGTCGGTCAGTAGCAGCTCCATTCCTTCTGCCCTCCTCAGACAGTGATACGATACGAATCTGAAAGAAACGTGTTAATGCAATTCGAACCACACTAAAAGAAACATTTGACATATCCGTCTTACCTTTCGTGATGATTGCTACTGACTGCAAAGAAAATCTGCTGACCTCTAGCCTGGTCGGCATTATAAGGAGGGAGGAGACCGCCCGGTCCGAAACAGACCCTGGGCAGACGACACCTCTCGGGTTGGGCGTGAGAATTTCTACGACTGGTGTCTCGGACGGCGCTGGCCGCGCCCGTGGCCAGATCCAGAAATCCGGCGGCCGGTTTGGCTACCGTTCCCACCAGACCTTTTCCCAATCCCGAGAAAAAACCCTGTAAGCAAAGTTAAACTTGGTATTTTTCTTGTGGACAGTTTTAAAATATAAAGCAATGTTAGTTATACATTAACTTTTTTTTTTAGTAACATCAGCACTTTGTGTGTCAGGTAGAAGCAAACTTACAGAAAAATGAAACAATACTTATGTCTTTTTACAAGAAAAAATTAGTTTTGGTCCCCAACATCAAGTGGCATTTAATGCCGAAAAATTAATTTAGAAGCATTCGAAATACAGGGTACCAGTATAACAAAAGTTCAATGAAAAATGCACTCTAAGTATAATGTGTTTCATTCAAAAGTTTATTTTAATTTGAGATTATAAAATTCACAACTGTTAGTTGTATGATTTAACTGGCTTATTACCCGTGGCTTTGCCCGCGAGGATTTTGCAAGCAAACCCCATTTATATTCAGTATTTCAACTACCATAGTAATTGTTATATAACACCTACCGCTGAGAATGATGAGAATTGCCGAGAATCAAATGAACTATTTTCTGGAACATTTACAATTGTTCTATAATCGAACCAATATGCAATAACAAATTTGAATTTAAAACGGTTCAAACACTTTAAAAATCAAAATAGATATAATATTTATAACAATGTCTGAAATGTTATCAATTTAATACATCTAAGTACTCAATGAAGACTAAACGCAGATAAAAACAAAAAATTGCATCTAAAATAGTACAGTAGAAGCCGTTCTTCTGGTTATGCCTTAAGCCTTAATCCTCTCCCTCCGCGGGGGAATTTCGAAAAATCCGTCCTTAGTGTGCGTTTTCATGACGTACCCTAACTGTGTACCAAATTTCACTGGTTTGCTCTGGGCGATGATGAATCAGTCAGTCAGTCAGGACAAGTAATTTTATATATTTAGATTATGACAAAAAATATGCAGAAACTTTCTGTTCAACCCAATATAACCTTTACTTATTAATCATAGACTTAGTTGTTTCCTTGCACTTCTCAGATTCTAACTAGTGAGAGGAAGACCTGAAAAAGGTTAAGATAAAAAAGGAACTTATCACAAAGCATGAAAGAGGTACACATGGTAAATCTGGGCTGTGTTTCAGATGTCAAAGTCAATGGTGTTCGACCAGTAAATGCAATTTTCATTTTATTTAGTGTTTTTGTGCTTAAAAAGGCAATAAAACACAACTGTGTTGTTTTGACCTTAAATCAAAGTTAATTGTTTAGGGTCTGGGAATGGTTTAATTCACTTTCCATTATTTTTAATGAAAAAAAAAATTGCTTCAAATTCATTACCACCGATTAAATACAGTTGTGCTTCGTACGTCAAATATAATTCATTTCAGGAGGCCATTTGATGTTTTTAATTCCAATGCTTCACAATATAACCTCATCCTTGTTTTAGAAACTTTAACATTTCAGCTGTTTACTTTTAAACTACATAAAAAGTGATTAAAACAAAAATTGCATAGATATTCCAAAATAATCACTTTTGCCATTTTATAATAATTAATAACATGATATTTTATTTAAAAACTTTCTATAACAGCTAGGAAAATGATTTGAGTGATGCACATAGTGGCATCACTCAAATCAACATTTTTGAATAACTTTTTGCATAGTGATAATAATTCTCTCTAGATTCAAAATTTAAATTATTTTTCAACATTTCTATGGATTTGTATATTCATATTAAAACAATATTGTGTAAACTTTTTATTTTCTTACTTAAAAAAAAAAGTTGTACCTGAACACCTTCCGTCGAAGCTCCTTCGTACGTTTGCGTAATTAGACTAGTGACTCCTCCAAATAAACCATATCCAAATCCTTTCAGTCCTGCGACCAAATGATCGCTTCCTGCATTAACGTCGTATTTAATCTTTTTTCTAATCTCTTGATGGTGATTATCCATGGCCACCAGACCCAAACTGTCGGACAGGGATCCGGTCATTTTGGCCGCGGAATCGGACAATCCGTGGGCAACGTTCTTTATCAGACCTCTCACGTCTCCCTCGTTCAAGAGGTCATTCACTCCGTCGGACACGTCGTACAGCAGACCGAGGGGATTGCCGAGGAAGTCGACGGCACCCAAGATTTTTGCAGCTTGGCTTTTTAACTCCTATGAATAGTTTTAAATAGTTTGATGATAAAATACCTAAGATATTTAAATTTCAGTATAATTTACTTACCTCTTTATAATGTTCAATAATGCTATCAACTAAAAATTGAGCTGTTTCAAAAGGATGAACTCTTACAAATGGATCTGTAATAATATATATAAATGCTGTAAATGTTATAATTATACATAAATTTTACATTCAGGAATCCCTGTTATATTTTGGTTCTACTATAAATTGCTTTTAATTTTTCCTAAATTTATTCTTAAAACAAAACAAATTTTTTAGAGTAATTTTACCATTTTTAACTTAAAAACTTAGTTTCAAAAATGTTACAATCCAACTATTACACTTATTCAATAATAAGCAAGCTCTATGAATGAACATTTTGTCAGAATTATTTTTTAAGGTATTTAGGAAAACCCTCTTTAAATTTCCTATAAAGTTTAATGGAAACTCATAGATAGCAAATTGGTTAAGAGGTATTGATGTCATCACTGAATTCATTTAGGAAAATTATTTGTTGAGCTCCAAAACATGCCAAAATTGTTTTTTTTATTTAATTATAAGATAAGAAATGGCATAAAATAAATTTTACTTTTCCAGCTGTTATGTATACATAACAAGGAAAAGTATTGGCGGGTTAAATTTGACACAATTCTGAGATTTTTGCAATTATGCAATTTTGGAAACCTCCTGAATTCAGAAAAGTCAAAAAAATTCCGTGTGTGTATGTTGGCATCTATTTTGCTTAATATTTACCCCTTTCTGAGATATTAAGTAACAAAATTTGGCATGGTGGCTTGTATATAGGGACATAGGTGCTATTAAATTTTGGTGCTTAAAGGTCCTCATGTATATCTCCAATAGGGTCAGACTTAATGACAATTTTACTCATTATTAACATTTATACTTTTATAAAAAAAAAACTTACTCTCAAAATTAAGTTTATACAAGGTCTGTTCAAAAAGTNGTATTCATTAATTTTCATTTTCATGTAGTAAAGGCTCTATGCCTTCATAAAGTACGTACTTTTCCTTTGTGTAAGGGTATTTGGGCAGTTTATTCTCTGTTGTATTCTCAAGCAAACAATACATACAAGTACAGTACAGTACAGTACAGTATTTTCTGAGGAAACACGCATACTTATCCTTTTTTAACCCTATTCCCGATAACCCGGCATTTTCACAAACTCGGCCACCCTTCGGTCCACATTAGGCCGAGTTTTCGAGGTTCTACTGTATCATCAAAACATCTTTGGAAAAGGACATACCAAGCAAAAATCTAATGACAGTTAACAATTCTTTGAGGAGACATTGCTCGTACATACAAAAAATACCTTAATGTATGCTCAATGTTTTCTGTGTTTACCTTAAGTATGAAATATTTTTATTTTAAATTTCATTTTAAAAAATCTGATATGCAAATAAGAATGTAATTTCAGAATTTTGTTTACTAATTAAATGCAAAATAACCCACCACTAAATAATGTTTTAAAAAATACTTTTACTTAAAATGCATAATTATTGCAAATGCATTAAATGATGACGATCAGAGATGCTATGAAAATTTTTATTTAGATGTAGGTAAAATGTTAATGCAGACCATTACAGAAATATAAAAGCTTAAAATATAAATTTATAACATATATTAGCTTAGAAATACAAAAATATATACATCAAGTTTGTGAAACAGTAACAAAAGAAAACTTCAATATTACAAAAATTCTAATAAAATACTTTACAATAGTCAGTAAATTTATAGTATATATAAACTAGAAAGCTGTTCAAGTACTTTTAATTATCAAAACAAATCATCAACATGGAGTTCAGTGTCTACATTGTCTATACTGGAACAAAGTTGTGTAAAGATTATGGAGATGGGTTGTATAATGGAATACAATTGCATGGAGAACACACATCTTTTTAAGTAAGATTTTTTTTATGTTCAAAAGTGATTGAAAAATGGCTTGTTATTTAAATTTGTTGATTCCTGTAGAGAATTTTTGTTGTAAGAACGTAAACATCAAACTTAATCAAATAATCAACCAAAAATGAAAGAAAATACAGAAACATGCCAAATTATGAAAATTACTTTATTGGAACAATTTATTAACATATTCACATTCTAAGTTCTTTCCAACTGCCGGAGTTCATCTTTATCAACACACACAAAAATAAGCAGTTTTTAAAGGAAATTTTGAAATAAATAAATAATTAAAAAAATTACTAAAATATTGATAATGAAAATAGTTTACAATAAATTTTCATTTTACTAAGCTTTTTTTCTATATTAAATTCTCTTCAATAATTTTTTAAACAACAGTGATGATAAGTAGTCCTTAAAAGTACAAATTGCACATTGTATTGAAATTTTACATTTTTAAGAATAACTTGTTATTCATCTATTGCTTACATATTATTTCTGGATTTAGTTTTATGGTCTTGTTTTACATGGATATTGCATGTCAGCAGGTATCGAATAAAACAAAATTCCATGTAAATTTGTGCCATACCTAGCAGTCCCAGACAGTTGCCTAGACACTTAATCATTTACAATTAACAGAATATGTGTAAATGTTTTTATATACTGAACTTTATAATAAAATTAGTCAGTGTGTGCATTAATAATCAGAATTGCCTGTGAATCCAAAGATTAAGTTAATTGTTTGTCATCCACGAGAAAACATATCTTTGTTAGTAATTTTTGTTGGTGAAGTTGGATAAACTGAGCCAGCAAGGATGTAAGCGGGAGACGAACAAAACTTCTGTGTCTTTATTCTACGAAGAGCTACAGACACACTGGACGTTAGAAAAATAGCAATAATTCAGAGGGTCATAGGTAACGAGAAAAATAGAATGTGATGTACGATGACACTGTTTATCTTTCAGGAGACCAGGAGATAAACTTTTTAACACATGACAGCCACATTCCTAACAATCTTCATATATGTCCTGCATAAAGCAAAGCCCTACTGTACTTATTAATTAAAATTCAGCAATGATGAACTGAAAAGATTCAATATTTAGAAAACATATTTTAATGCTTAGAAAGTCAATTTTTAAGTCTTGAAAATTTAATTAATTGTTTGTGTGTGTGTATATATATATATATATATATTGATGCTTTTATTTATTTTTAGATGTTAGAGAAATTAGATGCAGTTGAGAAACATTATTTACCAATCGTAGAACAACTTATGAAAGGAGTCGATATAAATTTAATAATAGAAAAAGAAGAATCATCATCAAATAAGTTAGTCTATTATTATTTTTTATTTAGGTGAAAATAAATTTTAAAATATTATATTATGAATTTTTCAGAGATGAAAAAATGGAAGAAATGAAAACAATAAAAGAAAGGAATACTGAGGTGAGAATTTTTTTACTGAAAAAATATTTACACACATTTCTCTAATTTCATCAGCTGTAATGATTGTGTTTATTATTTCTTTCCAATTTAATGATATGGAAATGTTTTATGCTGACATGAAACACTGATGTGGATTTTGCCAATTTTCAGTAGCAGTTTTAGTAGTAATGGATGTTGTAATAGTGTTTTTATTTTTTCAACAAAGTGATTTAAATACCCATTCATGAAGTTGAGAAATGCTATTGTTTTTGATTATTGCAAATGCAGTTTCATAAGCTTTTGTTCAGCTGGTACTTTCTATAACTAACAAACTAATAGAGTAATGATTGTCATGTTAATCTTTTTTACAAAATATTCTGTGAATTTGTTTGATTTTAATTATGCTAGTTATAAATATACCAGTTTGATTTAATTTATTATCAATATTATGTAGATACCAAGTGATATGGAAGACGATTTTTGTTTAAAATCATCTGGTAGTGATGATGATGAATCTGATTATCCAAATAATTCATTAACAAGGTACTATTTTATAGATAATTCAAAAAAATGCTTATTATATAGGATAGTTGTGTACATGTAGACATGATTATATATATAAATTGCATAACATTAAATGTTCAAATTAATACAGAATTTAATTATTTCAGTAGTAATAAAAACAACACTGAAGAAAAGAGAAGTATCACATATGAAGTAAGTAAAATCTGTGTGTTAAAAGAATATTTCATAGCTTTCTCATATTTATCAGAATAATTAAATATAAAGTGAAAAGTTGTAATTCATCTTACTTCCAAAAATTTATATTATATTTATCAATTTACAATAATGAATTGATGATTAAAAATTACACATGAATCATCATTAAAAAAGACAGCTTACTTTATAAAATGTTGTTTCTTGTAAGCCAAGATGAAAAAGAAAAATAATTTGAATCTGTACTTAAATTTTCAAAAATTATGATTTTTTTTAAATTAAAATCTAAGCATTCATTCTTTATAGTTAAAAATATTTTTTCTATTATTATTTTCTCAAAAAGACAAAGAAAAAATGGAATTATATTTTTCAATATTAAATTTCCAGATTGCCAAGAATAAAGGTTTGACACCACACAGGAAAAAAGAAGTAAGAAATCCCAGAGTGAGGCATCGCAAGAAATACGAAAGAGCAAAAGTTAAAAGAAAAGGACAGGTAATTATTGTTTGAATTTTACTTTTGTAACAGAGGAAAACAATGCCTATAACATCTAACTGAAATCACAATTGTATTACTAATAAATAACCATTCTATCAATGATAGGTTTCCTTCCTATTTTCCAGGCAGAAAGTTAAACTAATATAATACAGGGTGTTCAGAAAGTCAATGCAAAAATATGATTAGAAAAGTGCAGTATTTCAAAAGACCTGCAACCCCCAGACTTTTATCTACAGAGAGCAGCAAAAACAGCATTCATTCAGGGTCACTGTGCACTTGTATATTCATTAACAAACACCCTGTACTTTCAATTAATATTTTGGGCTAAATCATAAGTAATGTCATTTTAATAGAAAATGTTTTTAATGTAAATAAGATCTATCCTTATGAACTTCTGGGTGGCTTATATGGTATCTACATAACTTTTTCCGTTAAAAAGATCAAAGAATTCTAAGCTCTTTCAATTTTTGTTGGGTGACTATTGTAATATTAGGTCAAGTGACACAAAAATGAGTATTCCCCTTATATCCCCAATTTTATTGCTATCTTTTTGAGAAGTGAGTATTATTCTGTCACCTATTAAGAGTAAAACACAGACAATCATTCTGCTCAGTAAGATCAGTGTAACTGTTTAACTACTGTTGATTGGGAAATAGCTTAGAAATTTTTTTGAAGAAATCTTCATCCTCGACATTAATGGGAATAGCAGTAAAGCCTTAAATATTATATTTTTTAAATTGTAGTACCAATGAATGTATGTATTTAAAGCACAAAATGTTGCGGCCAAAGTTTTCAATGCGAAAATGTGTACATTGGACAGTTCAATGACAATGGCATTTGGAATGTCGAGCATGATTCCACTGACGTTCCAAACGCCATTGTCAAACTTCTAGGCTAACAAGATGGTGGTGCTGAACGTCTGAGGTACACATTTGTTGGGAAATACCCAGAAGTGTGCCCATCATGAGCATCTATATGCTTTTGGATCTCTCTCCATGACTCATGCAGTCAGTTGACCACCAGTTTGTACTGATGACCATGTGACTATTCCCTGGAATCCTAAACATGATCCATGGGAGGATAAATCTGGGTGCTAGGCAGTCCACAGATGACATCTTGCAATGACAAGCATTATCCTGTTGGTCATGAAGGATACAATAGGGTATACCATTCTGTCCATATAATAGCAAGTAGTCATTGTCATAACTTGCCTCCAAACCGTGACACCTGTGTGATGCTCTGAAATTGTGCACCCATGCTATCATTTGATCTACAATGGGCCTTATTACACTTACATAGTGGAAATGCTGTTCATAGTTTGGTTTTTTTATTGGTATCACCTTTGGCTTTCTGCCTGCAAGTAAATAACATTAAGATTTTGTACTTCTGCTATTCAAATAATAATCATTTTTAGTCTTCAAATCTAAGAAGTTTTTTTAACATGCTTAATTTTAATTCAGACAGATTGAAATTCTTTTTCAACTTTTGAAAGAGGATTTTAATCTGTCTGAGGTTAAAAATACAATTTGAGTATCAAATTGTAAGTTCTTATGCTGTAAATATTACTGTGGGAAGAAGAGTGACAAACAAGATGGTGTGCAAGTGCTTATCTTAACCATTTAACCAGCCTGTTGCTAGTTAAAAGACAATTTTAATCCTCCAATTCATTTACTTAATGCTGATTGATGGCCTTCTTGACAAACCTACCAACAGTCAGTTGGCTTTGGCAATTTAGCAGAGAACATTAAAGGTTTGTTTGTACTATATATTAAAGTGAGATGTAAACTATACATACCTTTCTGGATTATGACTAACAAATTTTCTGTAACTTGATTTGATCTTCAATGCTGTTATTTTTTTTTCTTTTCAGTTTCGGGAACCAATGAAAGAATTGCAAAGATATGGAGGAGAAATATCTGGTATTCGTGCTGGAGTTTGTAAAAGTATCAAATTGAAATAAATTTTATTGTTTTGTACAAATTGTTTCTATACACATTTTACAACACAACAGAATTCTAATAATCAATCGTCTAATTCTTCTATTTCGTCTTCAGGTAAAGTATAAAATCTCTCTTCGTGAAGCTCTTTGACGTAATTTATTTCTTCCACAACCTGTAAAACATTAATATGTTACATTTTTATTGGAAATGTACAGTAAGACCCCAATTCGATATAACGCAGGCTGCTCGAAGCCTAACAAAATCTCAAACTTTGGAGATTCAAATTATTGCAGCATTTCATTGATTTGTATATAATACAATTATTCCCAATCAGCAAAAAGGTGGCAATTCGTCGTAGTACTGTACTTCCCTTAAATCTATTGTTTTGAGTAATGTTGGAAAAAATATATCATCATGGATGCCATAGGAAATATCGACTTTGCCTGGAAAAAATTAACTGATAACTTCTTCCACACTTCGTTCATGCATTTATGGCTGAAGGTATCTGTATCAATAGGTTAACCAAATTGTCAACCTAAATTGATACAGATACAGCAGGTTTCTGGCAGAATCCTTACCAATGACAGCCTTCAAGAACTGGAAAATAGTGATTCTGGAAACAAAGAATCTAAAAAATATCTCTACAGATTTCTTTAGTAAAAGTTTGGTAACGATAACCGAAATCGTTTATCAAATTGTAGCAAAAGAGGCATTTTGGATGCAAAGCGACAAATGAAACTACACAACTTATGCACACAGAAATCTAAGATTTGTTTTTTGTGATAATGTTATTATGCAAATTAATATAAAAACAAGACTGGTCAAGCCTGTCTTGTTTTTATATTAATTTGCATAATAATAATAATAGCAACTAGGTAGGTTTTACTATAGCTTACATTGACTGTAAACGGAAATGTTCAGTTCAATGAATGGATCTAACAGAACAAATTTCTTGCTGACCGAGTTTAGGCTTAAGTTATAAGCCCAATTTCCAAAGTTTGGATCAACAGAACAGAACACTAAGTAATGAAAGTAGTTGTTGTGTATGTATCCTCTGCGTTAAGTGGGATCTTACTGTTACTGTATTTTCTTTTTGTGAATTATGAATAATGCTTACGGTGTATGCCAATGTTTGTGTATCACAGCGAAATTGAGGTCTCTTTCCGGGTTGATCGGCCAAACTCGGTGTTCCCGCCTTTAACGTTAGCTGTACGTAGTGCCTAATTTCTCCCACGGTCGGCTGAACATAAGCACATTCTAATAAATTCTCTAGTGACACTAAAAGAATCTGATCGGTGGATGTCGAACTCCTATTGACAATGATTATGTGTGCGTCGGTCAGTAGCAGCTCCATTCCTTCTGCCCTCCTCAGACAGTGATACGATACGAATCTGAAAGAAACGTGTTAATGCAATTCGAACCACACTAAAAGAAACATTTGACATATCCGTCTTACCTTTCGTGATGATTGCTACTGACTGCAAAGAAAATCTGCTGACCTCTAGCCTGGTCGGCATTATAAGGAGGGAGGAGACCGCCCGGTCCGAAACAGACCCTGGGCAGACGACACCTCTCGGGTTGGGCGTGAGAATTTCTACGACTGGTGTCTCGGACGGCGCTGGCCGCGCCCGTGGCCAGATCCAGAAATCCGGCGGCCGGTTTGGCTACCGTTCCCACCAGACCTTTTCCCAATCCCGAGAAAAAACCCTGTAAGCAAAGTTAAACTTGGTATTTTTCTTGTGGACAGTTTTAAAATATAAAGCAATGTTAGTTATACATTAACTTTTTTTTTTAGTAACATCAGCACTTTGTGTGTCAGGTAGAAGCAAACTTACAGAAAAATGAAACAATACTTATGTCTTTTTACAAGAAAAAATTAGTTTTGGTCCCCAACATCAAGTGGCATTTAATGCCGAAAAATTAATTTAGAAGCATTCGAAATACAGGGTACCAGTATAACAAAAGTTCAATGAAAAATGCACTCTAAGTATAATGTGTTTCATTCAAAAGTTTATTTTAATTTGAGATTATAAAATTCACAACTGTTAGTTGTATGATTTAACTGGCTTATTACCCGTGGCTTTGCCCGCGAGGATTTTGCAAGCAAACCCCATTTATATTCAGTATTTCAACTACCATAGTAATTGTTATATAACACCTACCGCTGAGAATGATGAGAATTGCCGAGAATCAAATGAACTATTTTCTGGAACATTTACAATTGTTCTATAATCGAACCAATATGCAATAACAAATTTGAATTTAAAACGGTTCAAACACTTTAAAAATCAAAATAGATATAATATTTATAACAATGTCTGAAATGTTATCAATTTAATACATCTAAGTACTCAATGAAGACTAAACGCAGATAAAAACAAAAAATTGCATCTAAAATAGTACAGTAGAAGCCGTTCTTCTGGTTAAGCCTTAATCCTCTCCCTCCGCGGGGGAATTTCGAAAAATCCGTCCTTAGTGTGCGTTTTCATGACGTACCCTAACTGTGTACCAAATTTCACTGGTTTGCTCTGGGCGATGATGAATCAGTCAGTCAGTCAGGACAAGTAATTTTTTATATTTAGATTATGACAAAAAATATGCAGAAACTTTCTGTTCAACCCAATATAACCTTTACTTATTAATCATAGACTTAGTTGTTTCCTTGCACTTCTCAGATTCTAACTAGTGAGAGGAAGACCTGAAAAAGGTTAAGATAAAAAAGGAACTTATCACAAAGCATGAAAGAGGTACACATGGTAAATCTGGGCTGTGTTTCAGATGTCAAAGTCAATGGTGTTCGACCAGTAAATGCAATTTTCATTTTATTTAGTGTTTTTGTGCTTAAAAAGGCAATAAAACACAACTGTGTTGTTTTGACCTTAAATCAAAGTTAATTGTTTAGGGTCTGGGAATGGTTTAATTCACTTTCCATTATTTTTAATGAAAAAAAAAATTGCTTCAAATTCATTACCACCGATTAAATACAGTTGTGCTTCGTACGTCAAATATAATTCATTTCAGGAGGCCATTTGATGTTTTTAATTCCAATGCTTCACAATATAACCTCATCCTTGTTTTAGAAACTTTAACATTTCAGCTGTTTACTTTTAAACTACATAAAAAGTGATTAAAACAAAAATTGCATAGATATTCCAAAATAATCACTTTTGCCATTTTATAATAATTAATAACATGATATTTTATTTAAAAACTTTCTATAACAGCTAGGAAAATGATTTGAGTGATGCACATAGTGGCATCACTCAAATCAACATTTTTGAATAACTTTTTGCATAGTGATAATAATTCTCTCTAGATTCAAAATTTAAATTATTTTTCAACATTTCTATGGATTTGTATATTCATATTAAAACAATATTGTGTAAACTTTTTATTTTCTTACTTAAAAAAAAAAGTTGTACCTGAACACCTTCCGTCGAAGCTCCTTCGTACGTTTGCGTAATTAGACTAGTGACTCCTCCAAATAAACCATATCCAAATCCTTTCAGTCCTGCGACCAAATGATCGCTTCCTGCATTAACGTCGTATTTAATCTTTTTTCTAATCTCTTGATGGTGATTATCCATGGCCACCAGACCCAAACTGTCGGACAGGGATCCGGTCATTTTGGCCGCGGAATCGGACAATCCGTGGGCAACGTTCTTTATCAGACCTCTCACGTCTCCCTCGTTCAAGAGGTCATTCACTCCGTCGGACACGTCGTACAGCAGACCGAGGGGATTGCCGAGGAAGTCGACGGCACCCAAGATTTTTGCAGCTTGGCTTTTTAACTCCTATGAATAGTTTTAAATAGTTTGATGATAAAATACCTAAGATATTTAAATTTCAGTATAATTTACTTACCTCTTTATAATGTTCAATAATGCTATCAACTAAAAATTGAGCTGTTTCAAAAGGATGAACTCTTACAAATGGATCTGTAATAATATATATAAATGCTGTAAATGTTATAATTATACATAAATTTTACATTCAGGAATCCCTGTTATATTTTGGTTCTACTATAAATTGCTTTTAATTTTTCCTAAATTTATTCTTAAAACAAAACAAATTTTTTAGAGTAATTTTACCATTTTTAACTTAAAAACTTAGTTTCAAAAATGTTACAATCCAACTATTACACTTATTCAATAATAAGCAAGCTCTATGAATGAACATTTTGTCAGAATTATTTTTTAAGGTATTTAGGAAAACCCTCTTTAAATTTCCTATAAAGTTTAATGGAAACTCATAGATAGCAAATTGGTTAAGAGGTATTGATGTCATCACTGAATTCATTTAGGAAAATTATTTGTTGAGCTCCAAAACATGCCAAAATTGTTTTTTTTATTTAATTATAAGATAAGAAATGGCATAAAATAAATTTTACTTTTCCAGCTGTTATGTATACATAACAAGGAAAAGTATTGGCGGGTTAAATTTGACACAATTCTGAGATTTTTGCAATTATGCAATTTTGGAAACCTCCTGAATTCAGAAAAGTCAAAAAAATTCCGTGTGTGTATGTTGGCATCTATTTTGCTTAATATTTACCCCTTTCTGAGATATTAAGTAACAAAATTTGGCATGGTGGCTTGTATATAGGGACATAGGTGCTATTAAATTTTGGTGCTTAAAGGTCCTCATGTATATCTCCAATAGGGTCAGACTTAATGACAATTTTACTCATTATTAACATTTATACTTTTATAAAAAAAAAACTTACTCTCAAAATTAAGTTTATACAAGGTCTGTTCAAAAAGTATCGGACCTTATTTTTTTCCGCGTAAACCAATGATGCGAGAGAGGCCTCCTTCGGTGGAGTTATGGAGGGGACAGTCATGCACAGCCCTGAATTTTTTCCCGCCTGCAGAAAGCGTCAGTCGTTGGCAATCGGCGTATGAGTGAGGTCATGTAGTGCGCTCTCGTCGGATTTCACTAAGCTGGAAAATGACTGAACAACGTGAGCAGCGATATTACATCAAATTTTGCCAAAAACCTTGGCGATACCCGAGTGTAAACCATTCGCAAGATTCAGCAGGCT